GGTCAGGTTCAGCTAATGTGTACAGAAGCATTCCCGTCGCTCGGAATTCCCATCGATCCACACCTTCGGAACCTTGCCCGGTTTTACGGGTCCTGCAACCCCACCAGAACGTTCTCAAGGAGTCGTCACTTGGGGCACAGTCCCATGGCGACACAACGTACCTCACACCTCTTCCTTTTCTGCGAGACAACGCAAAGCCGATAGTATTAACCACCTCGTCCACAAGGTGTCTAAAAGTTGGCACGCCGCCAGATCCTAGGGAAGAGGTTTTAAGCGAACTCCTGCAGCGCGTCTGACAGCCCCTCCTGCCTCCAAGTGGGGGAGCTCACAGCTATGGCCATAAACCGACTCCTTCATTCTAGCAACGCCACATCGAGGAGACCAAGAATCGTCCAAAAATTCAAACCTGATCTCCAGGTAGGTTCTATGTAACGGGTAGGCCGCTCACTGACGAACTAACTGGTCGGGACAGCTCCACATCATTCACTCTTTCCAATACAATCTTATGAACGCCCGGAAATTTTTGCAATCTGAAATACCCTGAGTCGAATTTTTCTTTGAAACGCTTTACTCCTCAAACAACCCCGCACCATCATTTTGTTGTTAACAAAAATTTATCCCTCCAGCACCCCTTGATTATGTCGTAAGCTAGCTTCAAATATTTTGCCAGACCAAGTAGGCCTGCTATTGATAACCTTTGCGGGCCTTTCTCCTGCCGGACGACTTGCTTCTCCTAGAAGATAGTTGATTTTTTCTTTCAGAAGACCGCCGATCTCTTCAATGGGGTTTTTCGGATATACGAACAGAACAGGTCATCAAAGGTAGCTTCACCGAACAAAACATCTTTGAGCCCAACACCACCAAACCATTGCATGAAAGAGCTGTATTGCTGGCAGCACCATGACAACGAAAGACACTACCAGTGAAAGACACTACCAGTGAAAGACACTGCCAGTGAAAGACACTGCCAGTGAAAGACCGCCAGTAGCACCATTGAAAGACCTCGGTCCTAGCTTCCCTCCCTCCTCTCGAGAACACTCTTTGGCGGCTCCATTCGCATTCTCTTTGACGGCCACGTGCCTTAGAACTCCCTTTTGAGATCAAGTCATAACTATGCTTAAGAATATCGTCGCCAGACTTATGGGTGAGATGGCGGGAAGTCGGCATTTGATGTCTTTTGCCAAACCGTGCTTTCGCACAAAGGGGGAGTGTTGCGCATAAGGTAGAGGTCCCGTTGACCATCTAGGGGAGGTTGCGCTTTCCTAGACCTTGAAGTGTTCGGGGCAAAAGATGGCTCCTTCCCGATAGCCGGTCAAGTTCAGCTAACCTGTACAGGAGGATTCGCTCGAATTCCCATTGACATAAACCATCGGAACTCTGGTCGGTTGCCCGGGTACTCCAGCTCCACCAGCCAGTCATCCGTCGTTTCATGGTCTGCGAAGTTTTGCAGAACAACGTTGGATCGCACACCCACGGTGAGACAACACGTCGAGCACCGTTTCTGCGCGGCGGCGCAAAGCCGATACTATTGACAATCTCATGCGCAATGACGCTGTCGCTCTGAATTTCGCGTGCCTCACAAAAATGTCTTGAACGTAACCATTCCCAAAACTCCACAAGGTCCCAATGGCTCTCGCATCTCTCACATCCGTTTCCATTTCGGTGACGTGTGTCATGTTCTGTGCATGAATAACAGGAGGCTGACAAGGTATACGGTAGCTTCCGAATTCCCTCGACGGCCTTGGCTAAACCGAAGACTGACATTCCGATCGGATCTATACCTTTGGGTACCGTGCTCCACCAGCCATATTTTTTAACGCGTAGGCCCATACCAAGCACGACGGGCTAATCCGGAGTCTTGCCTCATCTACCGTCGCTATCTGAAACTTGTGTCCCCAACGATTGACTAGGAATTCAGGAATACTGTCATTCACAGCCTCACCCTGGACCTGCGCTGCCTCACGTATTCGTCGTCTCC